GGAACAAATACTTTGGCGAGGGCTTGATAGGGAGCTGAGCAGGGACACAGGGAAGCCACCTGCAAAACACTTGAGCCAATTCTGTGATGGATGTTGGAGCAGCAGAGTTGGAGACAAAAGGTGCCTTCACAATAACGTTGCCATCTACTGGCAGCTATTTAGAAATGCGTGACAGCAGAATGATTTAAAGGATGCATCACAGTAAAGCAGATTTCCTTGATAAAACACTGAAACCACAAAAACTTTAGATGCATTTCGACACTGAAGTTTGAGTACCAGGGCCTCCTGTTTACTCTCTGGCAAAGAACTGCAACCCTATTCCAGTAAGTTATGCCATTTACTGGCACAGGCCACTCTGGGCACTGAGTCGCAGCGTGTTATTAGAGTTCAACACCAAGTGATGGAAAGATAAACAACAATATTACTTCTGCACGACTTCAGAAGGGAGGCAGCGATATCTAAATGTTGTTTCCACATTGAACAAACATTCATCTGGAACACTTTGTTTACCAGCTCCCAGTGCTAAAGCAACACATCCATATTTCAAAGTGTTTTTCAATGTTCTTGCTAAATTACAGCAATGCAATAACTATTTCTATTTACAAGTAAATGGAAGAAGAAAAAATGAAAGCATTTTAAGATGACCCGTGCAATAGCTCTGTTAGAAAAATGTAGCCCCTGTGGATTTCATTAAGTATACCGACTCCCAAAACCTGACTGCTATAAATCACAGTCAGCAGCGAGCAAAAAACATTATCCAAGTATTCTCTTCTAGGTTGTACTGGTTGACTCATACTGGATATAAAGCACAAGAAGATATCTGATCTTGTACAACTAAACCTCCCCACTGACAGGTCAAGTACAATTTTATGCACTGCAAAAATATGTATAACCTTTTTCTTTCCCACTTAAAAAAAATGAAACAAAACGTTTCCCATTTTAGATCAGGTAGGATTACCACAATTGTTTTTATTAGCTAAGGAAACACATTCTGTGTCTTAGAGAGTGTTCGGATGCAAAAATGTGTATATCAACCCGAGGACAAAGGTAAGGCTGGTAAGGTGAGGCTGGTAAGAGAGTGTCTTTGACATAGACCGAAAGGCCACTCAAAGAGAAAAAAGCCATTTTTCAAAAACATAAAAAGTCAGATTACAGTTTGTAAATGCACTCAGGGATGAAGATCTTATTTTTTGGAGACAATTTCTTTGATCTAATGAAAATACAACTGAAGTGTTTGCCTAATTACGACATTGTTACAGGTGGAGAGGGAAATAGAGGGACCCTGAGAACCTCATCCAAACTGTTAAGTATGGGGATGGCAGATTCATGTTGTGGAAGAGATTTGCTACAGGAAGGACTGCACTTCACAAACTACATGGCATCATGAAGATAGACTCATGTGGAACATCTCCTCTGCAAGGAAGTTAAAGTTTACATCCAAATGGGTCTTCCAAACAGAGACCCTATGCATAAAGCCAAATTAGTTGCAAGGTGGCTTAAGGACAACAAATTGAATGTTTTGGAGTGACCATCACAAATCCATCCTCTCAGCCCCATAGAAACCTGGCTCAGTTACACCAGCTCTGTCAGGAAGACTGGGCCAAAGTTCTGGCAAACCTTTGTGGAAAGCTTGTGGAAGGAAACCCTAAATGTTTGACCCAAGTCATACAGCTTAGAAAGCAATTCTAAAAAGAAAAGAAAACTAAGTTAATGTATGTAAAAGTGTATGGACCAGCCAGCTTAAAAAAAAACTAAAATCAAGCTTCACATCTTTGGGAACCATTACAAAGCTAAATGGGACAGGGGAATGCTACTGTGAATGTCAACTGACACCATTATCCTAGAAAAAAATGTGAGCTGCACCGATTTTCTGATTCACACAAGAAAAAACAAAACCAAAGAAACTTTAACCAAATGCCAGATGATTTTGATACATGCAAAAAAAAAACAGGCCTCTGGAACTGAAAGACAAAAACACCAGGTTTTGTATGACTTCAGTTGGAACTAGCATTATGGGTCTTTTAGAGAAATAAAAATGTTACACAACGCAATTTTGAGAAGATTTTCAGAAGACAGAGTCGTGTCAGCTGTTCTGTTCTGCAGGACTTTTCCTTCACTGGCCCACTGAGAGCCTTGTGAAGCAACTCGGCTTCTCTTTACAGAGGTCCATGTCTGCTTTCTGCATTTACAGTTGGAAAGAGCAGCATGTTGGCACACCTGTGTGGCACACAAAGGAAGAAATACCACCACACCAAGAGCCATGAGAGTCTACCATATAAAATCAAGAAATTCTTGGGTTACTTTTGAAGTTTAAACTCAGTTAATTTTGTGCTTGGACGAGGAATAGAATTGCAAGCACAAAGATGTCCGTAGACGTCCATATTCGACAAATCCTTAGTCTCACTCCACGGATTAAGTCCAGATGGAAACAATGAGATGAGTTTGAAGGCTTTTGCTGTGTAACTGAAAACACTCAGGCTTGTTAACACACTCCAAAAGCTTGCTTCATCCATCACCGGCCAGATGTTCCATAGAGCCTTTTTCCTTTACTTCCCTGAACCCTCTCAAAATTAATTCATTTCCCACTCCACTTGCCTTCACAACAAAGCCACTCATAAAAACTAATTGGATCGTTTGCGGTCTTTATGATCAGGCAATCTAGAGCGAGTTTCAGAGAACAAGAGATGTTCTTGCTGACGGACTGTCTCTCTCGGGACCATTTCAACACTCTGACCCCACTTAATCCTGCCATTAGAACCCAAAGCTTCCCAATCCTCCACACTTCAATATGCTCAGATGGATTAAGAGGCAGAGAGGGATCGTATCTTTGAATAAACATTAAAATCTGTTGCTTTTGTGGCTAATTTCCTTTTGAATTCCAGTGATGTTGATAGCGAAAAAGCATGTGGTGAAGTGAGCATGGCAGCCATATGCTGCAAACAAGACTGAATTATGTCCATCATGTGAAAAACCATTCACTATGTAATTCACCAGCTTTTCAGATCTGGTATTTTAACCATTATTTTTAGAGATTAGTTTTAAGTCTTTGAGGTTGGAAGGCCTCCTTGCCATTACCCTAATTTTTTGCTTCATCCACAAATTCTCCATCAGATTCAAGTCAGGACCCTGACGGGCCACCCCAAATTCTTAATAATACTTGAACTCGGAAGAAAAATGCTTTTATATTTAAAAGATTTGTCAGCTTTTGTGAAAAATGAGGACTAACATCCAGCAGACAAAGGTTAATGCTCAGTGGGGCAACAGATTTAGTGAAAGGATAACTGAAAAACTTACAAAAAGAGGACAACAGGACATGGAGCATGGGTAACTTAACAGAAGGAACCAGTAAACAACAGTGAAAACCAGGGAGCTTATATACTGAGGGAAGGGTGGAAAATGACATTGCAACCAGGTGAGCTTAATCAGGGGAATGTGGAACAGAAGTGAGAAGAGAGCATTAAGCAGGGGAACTGAGGGAAGGAGACTAATTAACACAGAAAACACAACAGCAGCTTGACTAAATACAAATGAGAACAACCCTAACACTGGAGAACAAACTAAAATGAACAGTCAGAACACAAGAATAAGTTAGAAGCTAACCACAAAGAAATGAACTAATAAGACACGACCAAACCATAATAAAGAACACAGGGGAATAAACCCAAATTCAATTCAATTCAAAAATACTTTTGATGATAATACAGAACTTAAAAACAATCAGAAAACAGCCGCAAATGAAAACCTAAACACAAACACCAGTGGATCATGACAAAATTACTTTAAACCTAAATCTACCAGGAATATGAATAATTTTGGCCTCAACTGTTGTGCTATGTGACTAACCATCAATTTGCTCATTGATTAATATGTCGACTATTAAATGATCCTTAGTTTTCAAACTTTTTTATACAAATGCAAGGTTGAAAAGTAAAGGCAAAGAAAAGGTTGCCAAAGAAAAGCATCTCACAGCATGATGCTCCCACCACCATGTTTCACCACAGGGATGGTGTGTTCAGGGTGATGTGGAGTGCTAGTTTTCTGCCACACCTAGTTTTTTCAGGGAATCCAAATAAAGGGAGCTTAATCTAAATGTATACCAGTTTTTTTTATTATTTGCATTTATTTTTTTTAAATTGCATAATTTCCCTTTCACTTCACATTTATGCACTACTTTGTGTTGGTCTGTTATAAAATCCCAATAAAATGCATGGAGGTTTGTCACTTCGTCATTAAATAGTTTGAAAAAGTTCAAACAAATCTTTCAAAACAAATCAATACCTTTCAAGTTATACCCAAAACACACAACAAACAAACAACAGGATTTTAAGAGTCAGCATCAAGGTCGCATGCTGATATTAGAGCCATATATCTATAATTGGCATTATAATTTAAGACTGTAAGAACAAAGCTACTAAAGATTCATGGCCTCAGTTTTTTGCACAAAATGCCACACTTCAAAATAGGGGTTTCCAGAAGGTTCTACCTCTCTACATTCTGTATGTCAGAGAAACAAGTATGAGCAACAGAACCGTCCAAGAACTGCTTGAGGCACATTGTTATGGCAACCACAAAATAAAGTCTATTCCAAATAGGGATGAAGGCATGGGCAATTTGGCCCCCGCACAAACAAAAAACACAGGCAAAACTTTCAGGAGCCACACTTCGATACAGTCTCCTTCTTTTGCTATTCTGTAATGCCAAGACTTTAGCCGGATGAAAGGAGAAGGCCACTGAATAGCAGAGATGTTCAGAGGCGGCACTTGTTGACCCCTTCACCCTTATGTTCCACCCCCATCCTGAGGCAGCACACTGATGTGTGCTGACTCATGCTGCATGCTCACTCCTCGCACAGATGGGAACGACAGTCATCTGTTGACCACTTGAGGGTAAAAGCTACCGAGTCATTTTCCAGTTAGGAGCACTAGTTGTCGGGCAGAAGTCAGCCTGAGAGCAGCATTACTTCAGACATTTGGAGCTCTGCAATGAGCGGCTGAAGGCGCGGCGCTGATGGTGTAGGGGTTAAAGCACGCGCCCATATACGGAGGCTACAGTCCTCGAAGCAGCCGTCCCGGGTTCGAGTCCCGGACCTGGCGACATTTGCTGAATGTCTCCCCCTCTCTCTACCCCTCTTTCCTGTCTGCCTACTGTCAAAAAATAAAGGCCACTAGCATGGAAAAAAAAAAAAAATTATTAAGCACAAAATAATCATTCACAAGGTATATCCATCAGTGTTACATAAAACTCCTTGTTGGAAAAAATGTCTTCTACATGACAAAATTTTACAAAACAACCCAGAAAGGTTTGCAAAGCCTCAGCTGACCTTCTGTCACCCAGTGTCCAACTGGACCGCAGCTTCCAGGGTGTCTAAAGTCTACAGGTCCTTCTCAAAATATTAGCATATTGTGATAAAGTTCATTATTTTCCATAATGTCATGATGAAAATTTAACATTCATATATTTTAGATTCATTGCACACTAACTGAAATATTTCAGG